GCCATTATAGACCTATAGAATACGATATAATTCAGGTAGCCGTTTTTTCTCTCTGCCTCTAATGTGTAAATTGTATCTACTCGTAAAATTGCGTATTTATTCATTCTCCATATATAGTTTACCCTGTGTTATGATAGCTGCCGTCATAACTCGAATTAGATCACTGTGATCTGTCAAGTGACAGCTACACAAGGCCAATGGCACTCAAAGGCGATTATGGGATCCATGTGCCCATGGAAAACCAGCACGGATAGAATGTTATATGATAATTTCTGTGGTGTTTAAGTATTAATAAAACAGACCGAAGACTCACATACACAAGTTAAAGCCAGAGAGTCGGAAATCGATCTATACTAGTGCACAGCAACTAGCAAACTATGCATATGAAAAAATAGTGATATATACATTCACACTATAAAAATTAATTTAATTTTAGCTGGTATAGAAAATGAAAAATATTCATAATTTATTGGAAAGGGCGCGTATAACTCTTCTTTGCAAGGTATTCATCCTAGCACTTATGCTTATACCATACAGTGTGCACAAACATGTGGATGTAGTTGACATGCTAATTATAGAAACAACAGAGAACAACCATATAATAAGACTAAAAATAAACCCAGAGGGGGCGCTTTCTCCTTCCCGTGGGTATGTAATGCACAAGAGCAGATACATGCACAACATGAGGCAGTATTTCTCAGAAATAAACATAGAGTATTTTTTAGTAAAATTGAATTCACCAATGCACACCAATAACCAGAAGCTGAGCATAGGTGAGGATTTATCTGAGAAATGTGCTATACACAGCAGGGCACAGGAGGAGGAAGAACAGTCAGACGTTAAATTCTTCTTTAAATACTATAAAGCGCCTGAACGGGATGCAGCCCATTTAATTGCGTATAAAAAAGACATTCTAGCGAGTGCAACTCTCCAAGCGTTTGCACAGCAGGTTATTCACATGTTTCCATCAGAAAATGGATATCTGTCAATTGACTCGCAGCAAAAAGACTCGTTTACTCGGTTATTAAGAAACCAAAAATCTGATACT